TTCAAATGATTTCAATCTTCTTAAATTTGTTAAAACTTGTTTTGTGGCCTAACATATGATGTATCCTAGGGACTGTTTTCTGTGCACTTGAGAAGAATGTGTATTCTGCTGCTGTTGGATGGAATAGTCTGTGTATGTCTCTCGGGTCCATTTGGTATTAAATATAGTTCAAATCTAATGTATCCTTATTGATTTTATGTCTGGAGAATCTATCCATTGTTGAAAGTGGGGTATTAAAGTCCCCTACTATTAATTTACTGCTGACTATTTCTCCCTTCAAATATGCTAATGATAGCATTACATATTTAGGTGCTCTAAAGTTGGGTGCATATATATTCACAGTTGTTACATGCTCTTAATGAACTGACTCCTTTATCATTATATAATCACCTTGTTTCTTGTTAACTTAAAGTCTGTTTTGTCTGATGTCAGAATAGCTATCACTGCTATTTTTTGGTTCATATTTTTCTATCCCTTCATTTTCAGCCTATGTGTCCTCAAAACTAAAGTGAGTCTGTTTTAGGTAGTGTATTCTTGGATCATTTTGTTTTAATCCATTCAGCCATTTTATGTCTTTTGATTGAGAATTTAATTGGTTTATATTTAAAGTAATTATTGATAGGTAAAGATTTACTGTTGCCATTTTAGAAATTGTTTTCTGGCTCTTTTTGCAGTTCCTTTGTTTCTTACCTCCTCTCTTGCTGTGTTTCTTTGTAAATCGATGATTTTCTGTAGTGGTATGCTTTGATGCCCTTCTTTTTATCTTCTGTGTTATCTACTGTAGCTTTCTGCCTTCTGGTTACATGAGGCTTACATAAAACGTCTTATAGATATAACAATCTATTTTAAGCTGGTTATAACTTAACTTCCATCTCTTTTAGACAGCACCCCCACTTTATATTCTTGATATCACAATTTACATCTTTTGATACTACACATCCATTAACAAATTATTGTAGCTACAGCTATTTTTAATTCTTCTGTCTTTCGAGTTATATACTACTATATAATAGTACTTGAGTATTCTGAATTTGCTTATATACTTATCTTTACCATTGTGTTTTATATTTTCGTGTTTTCTGTTTCTTCCAAGTAACTCTCATAGATATTTGTTTTAGTCTCTAACTTTCATGTGGCAGGTTTCCTCAATGTCTGTTGGTGCCTGGCTGTCTGGAAGTGCTGTGTAGGATCTGCTGATCACTGGGTTTCACTGTATGGAGGTTTGGGGAAGGAGATGGTCATCTCACCTAACAACTTTAAATGCCATGTATACTCTCATGACTCTCAAGTTATTATAGCTGAACTTCACTTCTGAACTCTAGACTTTCAATAACTCAGTTTGGAGGTCTAAAAGGCATCCCAAGCTGGAAAAGAAAAACAGAACTATTGATCTACAGTGCTCTACTTTCTAACTTGCTTCTCCCACAATGTTTCCTATTCCACTCCTACCCGGGTCAAAGCCGAGCAGGTCAACATAGCAGCCACTCTCTGACCTTTCTTTTTTGTACACACACACCAATTCGATCTATCAACAATTCTCACTGGAGCTATCTCTAACACATATTCAAAATCCAGCAACTTACCACTTTCACTGTTCCAACCCTAGATCAAGATACTAAAATTAAAATTTCTGGCTTGAAGAACTGCTCCTTGTTTTCATTTTTTGCCTCGCTCCAGTCTTTCTGCATATATCAGCTGGAGGAAGCCTTTTAAAGTGTAAGCCTCAGGAAATGAGTCACTCCCTCTAAGACCATCAGTGTATATCCTAAGTATGGCAGCAACAACATACAGCAACTATTTGATCCCATTAATTTCTCGACATATGGACTATATTTCATGGGCTTCAGGAGCAAGCATCGGAAGGAACTGTCCAGCAGTTCCCTAAAACTGAGCGTAAAACTCTGTATGTAAAACCATATGTGCATTGGACCGAGAAGAAATTTCATCTGACTCTTCATGACCCAGAAAGTATTGGGAACCAAGACCCTAGATTGTTGAGGGAAGGAATACATCTTGTTCATCTTTAATTTATCTCACCGCCTACCACATGGCACAGAGCATAGTTAAGGCGACTGTACATGAATGCTTTTATACACTAGTAAATATACATAAGCGAATACACAAAAGCAATTGGTGTGTTATTTGTATATTATTTAGGAAAATTCCCAAGGTCCCTGACCAGGCAACGTATTTTGTATCCTCTCTGTTCCCCAACAAATTACATTTTTTAAAAAGAGAAACTACAAAACCCGATAGACACAGAAAGAAAATAGTTTGGTGGTTACCAGCGGGAAAGGGGAGGCAGGGAGGCAGATAAGAGTAAAGGGGATTAAATATATGGTGATGGGAGATTTGACTTTGGTCATGAACACACAATGCAATATACAGATGATGTAGTATTGAACTGTATGCTTAAAACCTATATAATTTTATTAACCAATATTACCCCAATAAATTTAATTTAAATAAAAATAAGTAAGTAAATAACTTTGTCCCCAAATCCTGACAGAGAGCTCCTAAAACCTTTGAGTGATGAGTGCCTTTGGTATGCTAATGAGATGACTTGGCTGCCTAGATAGCTTCAGGATGAAGGCTAGCCACCAGAAAGACCAATGCATGAGTTCCGTATGCTCCACATACTTTACCATCACTTGATATGTTAAATCTTTTTAACTTTGGATATTCTAATAAATGTATAGCGACATGTTATTGTGGTATTGTGGTTTTAATTTGCATTTTTCTAATGATGTTGAGCATCTTTTCATATATTTATTCAGAATGTGTATGTGTGTGTATGTATATGTTTTAATTGTTTGCCCATTTTTTACAGTTGTTTCCTATTACTGCATTTTACGAGTTCTCTATACATACTGGATAAATGTAATTCATGTGATCTGAAAATAATTTCTCCCAGTCTACAGTTTGTCCTTTTATTCTCTTAATGGCATCTTTTGAAGAGCAAATTTCAAATGAAGTTCAACTTATCAGTTTCTCCTTTTGTGGATTGTGGTTTTCGTGCTGTATCTAAGAACTTTTTGCCTAATCCAAGAGCACAAAAATTTTCTTC